TCGGGAATCAATTATCATATTTTTGAACATATTTATTCTCCAGCTAACACTGTCAAATTACTTTCAAAACTTTGAAGGATCCAATCCGCGCCGCCATGTTTTGTCACCAACTGGCGCCCATCTATGCCGTTCTTATGTTACAAAGTTCAATATCATTCGTTTTTATACGCCCACATCAATATGTGGTCGTATATTGTCGTCGCCCCTGTCCGTCGGTCAACATTTCTTGTGAGCACTATAGAGACTACAGTTTTCATCTAATTTTGATAAAACTTGGTGTGATGCTTTAGATTGATAAGATCTCGGTCAAGTTCGAATTTGACATATTTTCGATGAGATATGATACGGTCTTTGAGATATTGCTCTTGACTTTGTTAAAACGCTTCAAAATTTGTTAAAAATAGATCGTGAGCAGGATTGAAGCTACAGTTTTCAACCGATTCTGATGAAACTTGGTGTGATCATTGGAATTGATCTCGGACAAGTTCTAACATGACGCATTTTCGATGAAATGTTTTTGAGTTATTGCCATTAACTTACGAAAAACGCATCAAAATTTGTTTGTGAGCAGGATTGAAGCTACAGTTTTCAACCGATTTTGATGAAACTTGGTGTGAGCATTGGAATTGATACGGACAAGTTCTAACGAGATATTTTTCATTAGAGCTGTGTGATTTAATTGTTTGTTGTATTTGGGTTATTTATATTGATTTTAAAAAAAAATTGTGGAATTATTCAGCATAAATAACTGGCATATATATATATTTGAATTCAAACTAATAAAATTTCTTCAATTGCTGTTTAGCTACCCATTAAACTAAAATCCAAAGATAAATGTGTCTTTAATTGTAAAATATTATATATACCTCTGTAAAAGGCAAGACAGGAAGCCAACTATCCAGAACATGATTATTTACATTAATTCACAAATTGACGCGTACTTTAGTCACTAAAGACTGTTTTATTATTTCTGACAGCTGCTAGTGGGCGTATGTTACCTTGCATCTCAAGCAATCTTTGTGAATTTGTTTGACAGTTGATACAACGTCTTCCGTAATGTATATAAAGTTTAATGATAATAAAATGTTCATTCTTACAGATTCATAGAGGCTTTTACGCATAATATTGGCAAACCGCCTATTTCTATCCGCACAATCCTGTATTCTCAAACTAGAGTTATCTCCCTTTTCATATATGATAATATTTTGACGGGATAAGTTATATAATATTTAGGAATGTATTTAATCCATCTCTCGCGATGTTATTCCATCTTCCGGTTGCAATGGGTAAATGAGGTTTTAAATTTACTGAAATATATTCTTAGAAAAGAGTCCAGTTTCAGCAGATATTCTTCGGTGCTAAATATTATTGTTATATTATTGTAATATTGTAAATCTATTGGGAGTTATATATTTCTAATTTTCCTATTTAGTGCAAACATTTTCATGTTTGTCCAGTAGATGCAAAACATGTCCCTGTATATCAGAAACTCATTATTTTGTAAGCAACTCTACGAATAAAAGGTACTCGATTCAGGAACATCTAACATGTGAACATTCGAATGTAATATATTTAATTTCATGCAAGAAATCTCAAACAGAAACAATATGACTATCTGTCTGCCAAACCTTGATTGTCGCGAGATTTGTACACTTTGCCTAAAATCCATAAGAATCCAACCAAGGAGTGGTTTATCTCGAATAAAATCCTTAAAGGCCGCCCGATTATACCTGACTGTGGTAGTGAGTCATATGCAGTGTCAGAATACATTGATCATTTCTTACTACCTCTAGCATGTCAACATCGCGCCTACCTTAAAGACACAACCGATTTTGTTAATAAAATAAAAATCTTGGAGTTCCCTCTAATGCTATTTTAATGTCTATCGACGTTTCTTCTTTGTATACCAATATCGATAACACTACTGGTTTAACGGCAGTCCGTAAAGCTTTTAATAGAAACCCCGATCCAAACAGACCCGACGATGCAATTCTAGAGCTTTTAGAGATTTGTCTTAGTCGAAACGATTTCACATTTAATGGTAAAAAATCTTCGAGTTCCGTCTAATGCTATTTTAATTTCTATCGTTAACATAGTAAACTAAAAACAATCAGTACATAACAGATACTATACTTCTCGCACATCGGGCAAGTTATTTTTTCTAAATTCAGATCAGAATAAGAACAGAAGAAAACCCAACATTAGTGCGGAGCAAAACGGACGAACTCGAGAACTCTTCGCGCTGTTCCTCTGAGCAGAAGTTGTAAAAAGAACAGCCAACAGGATATTTTTCTATAGGAAATACTTTCAAATAATTGTTATGATTCTTCCCAAAATTAGATTTAGTAGAATTAGAATTAGATAAAGTATTGGGAAATTAAGCCTACATGTACCTGAATCTGGTTGGTCAAACACATCTGCACTGTGCAACAACTGTTTCAAATTGATCAGTGGGTAGGTTGTACTAAACGGTTAGGGAACTATTTTACTTCGTGCACAGTTCCGGTACTGCTGATCTGGTATTTGTCTTATTTATAACGCCTCCAGTTGCCTTTCGCAGCATATCAGCTACGTTTTTTAAGTTATCCATTTTATGAAATTAAAACAATAACCTAAATCGCAGTTGATCTGCTAAGCTTAAGGCGGCAAGGGTAATCAACACTAACACAGCAAAGGGAAAATGTAGTACAAGGTCATTGGAAACCTGAGCAAACGCATTTCCCCTTTTACATGAGTATCTCTCAGGTGTTCAAGAAGTCCAACCTTACTGCTATTTCACCCAAGATATAAAATACTATCTAATAGTGATAAGCCTAATGTAACGCGTTACATTAATAAAATATACATGTATTTACAATGTTTTATTGATTTTGCTGATTTTGAATGCTTTTCTGAACACATTTCCACTGGGGTGCCACTCGTCTGGGGAATAAATTTTTATGGACCAAATTATCAAAAATTTATAGTAGCACAAACAGAAATATATTATGAAATGATGTCGAAAAAAAAAATGTTTGGCGTGAAATATATAGATTTGTGCAAATTGTGTTTTAAGGGGCGTTCTTTTTTTTGTAGGTGATATTTTTTTTGCTGAAATTTATGTAAATTATACATCAAACTCTAGAAAATGTGTCCCTTTACGCATTTAGAAAATTTCCCCAAAAAAAATCCAGTAGTTAATTTATTAACGATAAAACTATTTATGAATTTTACGTAAAGCTGTTTGGTAGGTGTAAGATAAAACTGTATGGATTTCAGCAAAATAAAATCCTACTTGAAGACAAATATTTCTCCTACTTATTCTAAAGGTTTCAACTAATAATATCGAGCCATTATAAAGCCAAAATCAAAACTAGGACAAACTGCTTAATGAACAATTAGTATTCTCTATTTTTAATTAAACCATATTGAAAAGAAATTCATTTTTACCAAGTAGGAATATAGATATATAAATAGCATAGTTAAGAAATATTTTCAGGTATAATTTAGGACGTATTTGATAATGAAAATTGTTCATACCGTTAGCCCCTTTTACCATAACCAATAAATCACTGCATTAGGTTCATTTTATATTTCGTGATTTATACAGTAGCACATTTCAGTAACCTTTAATCTCTTGACATTTCGACACTTACTATCAAGACAGATTGTCAGACAAAATAGATATAATTTCACCCATTTGTTTTCTAAACTGATTTATATGTTAAACTGGCTAGTGTCTACAGCAATGTGAATGTCATTTACTGTCTCGTTACTATGATTCTCACAGCTGATAAATTCAGAAAATATTAAGTATATTTTTGGATAAACCGTTGGGTAAGTTTAATTTATGCCGCTTGCGCAAATGTACAAAAATAACCTGTTGCATAAGAGCGTTCATTATCGTATGATTCATAGAAGCCATTGACACTCTTAATATAATCCATTACAATCTATAATTAAACCTTTTCATAGTTGTCTCCTTCTTTATACTTATCAATATCTCGTGTTCTAGGAATACGTGCAATATTAGTATTTCATTGCATTGCTTCATGTCCTTGCTATAACAACTTGCGTCACACGTAATATCTCTAGGTAGAGGTCATCGTGACATTTTCTATACACTACCGTTTCAAGTGGCTTTAAGTATCGACTAGGATATTGACGTGTTCACCACTTCGATTTGTAAGAACGTGTACTGAAAATGAAAGCATTTGCAAATAGAAAGAACGTTATATTTTTTTCTAAAACAACATTCTAATTAAGCGGCGGTCTACAAATTCTTAAGGTAATACTAAACTAATGGCAGTTGTAAGGTATATTAAACTATGCAAATTGAGCCCTTGACTGATTACAGAAGACACGAACTTGACATTGACAAATATTCAAAATAAGATTTTCAGTTGCGTGCTCTTTGTCTAAGAATGTCTTCGGGTCCATATTGATATCAACACACCCTACCAGAAATTTCGGCAATTACAAAATGTAAAATACTATTTCCAAATGCGATTCTCTTAACAGACTTGTTTTTTCGGCCCAAGAATTAAAGGGTTTGATTTTTTAATCCGATTCCCCACAGTCAATGATTCTTATCAGATGTCCCTCTGCAATTTAAGAAACAAATAGTCTGTAAACGTCATTGTCATAAACTAAATTACACCTTTACAAATTACTCATTGTTGTGCGTATTCTTAACAGTTATAGTCACAACAATAACATAATACAATATTAAACAACAATATCTTATATACCTTAAACTCCGTACCTAATTGGCACCGACATCAAACATCTGGCTAATTTCGAGTTTCCCATGCACTAATTGAAACCTCACACGCCTTTATAAACTGTACATTGCAATTATCTTCATTAAGACATACTACTGGTGTATTATCATTGATATAAATAAACTCGAAAATGAAGACTTATACTATGATGTGAATGTTTACGTCTGTGATCTGCATCAGATCCAAAGTTATTGATATATATTTCTTTAAATTTAAGATTTAAGGGCAAACAAGAATATGACTATCACCATAGAAGATAATGTAGATTCCAGTGAATCAGTGGTAGACCTACAAAATGATGAAGACTTTGTCACGTAAGTTTGTTTTTTAAATTTATTGATATCGCCCTGATAATCGTACGTGTCTACCTATTGAAATAAATAAAACCCATTGATATGGGTTTTAATGTATTTAATCTCAAATGTAAATATACACAGGAAATTGGTATGCAATTCAACCGTGAACACATTCTTGAGATATATCAGTTCAATTTCTTAATTGTGAAAACCATCTCTGTACAATCATTGTACTAAAATTAATGTTTATGGAATGCTAATGTTCATTTATTTCTTTTATCTATAAATCCTAAATAAAAAAGTAAATGCGACTGTTGCACTGACTCACATAGTAGTTAAACTAACTGGACTCGTTCCAATAATTGTTGACATTTGAACTAGTGTGAAGGCCAATTACTTAAAGATGGTGTTCCTATGAACAAAACAGTTTCCCTGGAAAATGATAATTGGTGCGACGAAACATATACAATATATCCTTTTGGCAATGTCATTCTCCGAGTTGATGGGATAATTCCTTGTATTTTCAAATTAAGCTTCTGGTTGGTTATCGAAGAAAAAGTATTTAGACTTTGAAGCAGTTATTTTCTCTATTCGATGCAGATTAGTATAATACCATGATATTTTATAAACATATTTTTATCTTGATATTAATCTTTTAAGTATTGAAAATGATCAACAAATATGAAAGAAGGGTCGCCACTTAAACACTAACATTCGAGAATATAACATAATCTGTAATCATAGTTTCTTATCAATAACCCAAATATAACATATCATTAACCTGACAAACAAACGAACGGAATGGAAATGTGCTGACGATAATATATTCAATGTACCGAATACAATAAACGTTATTAGCAATGTGGTGGTATACTTGTACCGTGTAAGGATTTATTTGGAAGTAAACAAGAAGTAAATGTAATTAAATGGAAATTTCGATGAGTGAAGAGAAGTTTCTTTTTTATTTGGAATGAATGAATGAATTGAATGGAGTTTTACGTCCTACTTTTCTGCACCATGTGGGCTAATGAAGACGGGCAACGCCATGTAGGGTGCAATGAGGGAAATTTTGCCAGGACAGCGGCATTAGCCTGCTCTTTTTCGATTTCCAACTGTCGAGGGATCTTTAACGTGCACAGCCTGTAGCACACGGGGCCTCGTTTTATTGTCCCATCCGAACGACTAGACGCTTTTTCCATATCCCCCTCGTACCTGCATCACTGACAGGGGGAAACCGGGTTGAAAAATCCGAAGGTATTATCTCGACCTATGCCGGGATTGAACCTTGGACCTTCAGGTTAGCGAGCAAGCGTCTAACTCACTGAGCCACCGCGGCTCCCTCTTTTTTATTTGGAGATAAATAAGTCATTTTGAACATTGATAGAATATGATTTCCATTTATATTATTAATCGATTTACTAGTATAAGCCGTGGTCACACTCACACATACGTTATGTACGGTTCGCAAATATGGGCTGGTTACATATTCGTACGTTATCATATGCGCCAGCCCTACTGTCAGAAACCATATTGAAACTTTATTGCTTGGTTTTCGATACCTAGGTCCATAATAACCGTAAGACATGATAGATTTCATATTCTTCACAAAACCACATTTTGGTACATACCACACACGATAAATCTATTCTGAAATTTTTCATTTCATTTTTGACTGCCAGCGTAGCCATCTTGAAGTCATGGTTTAAAGTACGAAGCTCTTAAAAACTTTCAAGCTTTTGTGGAATTTCTTAACTTAAAATGTGATTTTCTCTAAGGTGTTATTTCATTGTAACTGTTCATGTAACGCCTGTTATATCCATGACTTTGTTTATCTATTCCCAGATGTTCTCCATAACATCTATTTCTTTTATTTATTAGTCTTATCATATAGGACAGTGCTTCTCAACCTCAGAGAGATCTTTCCTTCCTGAAAGAGTTCTTCCAAATCTATTTCTCCCGAAAATGAATTAGTAATTTTGAAACGCATTTCATTGGTAAAATATATTCAGCGATTAACACTCCACACATCGATACCTCAGTCGTAGATGCCCGTTTCAAAGGACTGACAAAGGGCACTGTTCTGTTGCACCAACGAAATGAATTTTCGGTTATCGTCATCATTAAGTTTTATATCACCCTTTCTTCTACGTTTCGTCACTTTAATGAAATTATGAGAGTAGAACCCCACGATAAAGAAATGACACAGCACTAATCTTATCGGATGAGAACTCCCGATAGGCCTAAACCAACGGATGCCGAGAAAAAAATGCGAAGCCGAGTTATCTTTTAAAGGGATCATTGGGCTATAAAATTATATGTTCATTGGATATTCTGCTAAATCATAGCGTAGGGCTACATCAGGCTTTCCTATGTATAGGTGAATACCATGTTTTTAGATATGGTTATATTTCAGTAGATTTGCAAGACTGAGTTGAAAATTGATGATCTATCGGTTGTTGTATATACCGAAGACGACCTTGATATTGAAATATTCAGAAAATTTGATGGATACATTTTTATCGACGTACGACTAGGTGTGACCACACAAACATTATATGCAGTCTCGAGGTACTGCTCGAGTGAAGTATTCATATGGTCTCGCAAGCATAAATCTTTTAATGTAAAATATGAGCATCTAATGGCAACATCTACAATTACCCAACCTTCGATGTGCCCAGATCAAATTTTCTCTGGTCGCTGGTACTTTTGCTTTTTATTTTAGCATACCTGATACGACCATGGTATCAGATAAATGCAGTTGGCAAGATTCGTCAACTGATATTCCACACAACAGCAGAATTAATATGAACGATTTTCCGCCATTAACTGAGACTTTTGATACATCCAAAGGTAATACTTATTGTAATTAAATAATTCTTGGATGTCATTTGGGCAAAATTAATTTGTAGATTAAAAGCAGATTTGTTGAACAGCTGATGGAATATAATTTTACATCAAATATTAATATCTTCCTAACTTATTGTTTTTATTGCATTTTCTGTCATATTGTCTGGATATCTCACATAATAGTGTTAAATGGCTCAAGTCGTATCACATCTTTTCTGCTTCTTCTATTCCATATAACTTGACCCCTATTTCAACATGGTGCTCCACCAAGACTCCTTCCAAATGCTGAAAACAGTTTCTGAACACATTGCTTATTGCCAGCATTTTGCTGGATATTTTCATCTGAACACCATTGTTTTTATCGCATTAAGGATGTATGTAAGGATATCTTCCAAAAGTATCAATAGTATATATACATTCTGCCGGGACTCTCGCCGATGTTGAACGGTGATGAATATTACCTTTGTAAAATTTTGTTTTAAGACAATAAATTTCAAAAGAAACATAAGACACGCTAGATATTTCTCCTATAAAAAAAGCTACAAGCACATCTTTTCCAAATGTACCATAATTACCTTATAGTACACGTTTAATAGTTTTTTGTCTTTTTTAGTTTATTTCTGATGAGCTACTTCAACTGTTTTAGTCTTCAGATTGTGACCATTACGACATTCGTTTCATTGATGTAAATCCATTTTCAATATTCAGTACCCTGGTGGACATCAAAAAGATTTTCTTTGGCTGTCCTCTGCTTCTTTGGATTTCTAATTGGAGAAGCATCAAAATCAAATTTGAGTATTGCAATTGTATCAATGGTTAGAAGTATTCCTAAAGATCTTCAGTTGACAAATGATCATCATAATAAGCAAAATTCTACCTCAAACATAACCATAGTTATACCAGAAGCAGACCTTACAGATACGTTATTCAAGGTAATGCAATTGGACGCTAAGTTAATGAAATGAGATGGATGGTCAGGTTTGTTTGAATAAGAACTAATGCTTAGGTCGGAAGAATGTAAATGAACTAGTACAGTTTTTCGTTTTATGAACACAAACAAGCTATAGATAATGGTTAAGGGTAATGAAAAAAACTGTTTCATTTTACAGATTTTCTGAACTACGTCCAATTTAAACGTTTTACCAATTCTTTGGCAACGGTAATAAACTATATTTTATACTTCATAATTATATAAGGGCAATTCTATTATGGACATTGGCAATCTGTTTACAATTACACTACAACTATTGTTTTTAACTTGATCTTTATTTTCATAGGGCGGAGAGTTCGACTGGAGTAAAGAACTTCAAGGACTCATATTAGGATCCTTCTTTTGGGGGTATCTGATACTTCAAGTAACTGCTGGTTGGATGAGTGAACGGTTCGGACCAAAAAGAGTTATTGCTGTAGGAATGTTCACAACTTCTGCAGCTACCCTTTTGAGTGCAACGACAGCTAGATGGAGTCCGTATCTGTTCATGGGAATCCGCATTATAATAGGACTTGGACAGGTCAGTTATGGACTTGAATCTAGCTAGCAAGAAATTTCGTTTTGGCTATGTGTAAGAACTATCTGGAAACCTTTAGTACTGTGTACTCTGTCTAATCCGACATCCATTGGGACCGTAAAACTAGGTCGGAGTGTCGGATTACTCAGAGATCCGAGTTAATTACATCTGTTACTATTTATAGCATTTAGCTATATTTATAGCTCAATGGCCTAGTGATGAAAAATAATAATAAAGACAATTCAATTCAAACATTTATTCATTTGATTCATTAACAGGTATATTAAAATAATTAGATAATGTACTTTGAACCGAATTTGTAGTTTTAATCAAAACAGAATGTTCATGCACCCGATCTTCTAGATCCATTAGTATCTTGCCACATGAAGCGACCTTGCCGCCTTGATCGGTCACACATCGGTAATATTATTAATATCTCGAGTATTAGAACACAAATCCAATAAATGGTAACGTTCTATATTTTTCGAGAGGATTATATACCGTCTAAAGAATGACACTGAGCATGGCTAAGCCACGTGATTTAGAATCATCATAATGTGATTTGATTTTCGATTGTCCCATTTGTGAAGCTCATGTTGGCCCCTGGTTGATTTGTTGGTTATTTTCAGTGTGTTTTGCACCCATGCATCCAGTCATTGTGGATGAAATGGTCTCCCCCTAAGGAAAGAAGTAGTTTAGCGGGTCTTTCACTGGCAGGTAAAATTGAAAAATTCTAAATCCATGCTAAAACATATACCCTCATTTCAACTAAAAGAACGGTTATTTCCAGTTAGGTGAAAGTTTTTGGAATTTCATTCTAATAATTAAAAAACCATCACATAAAATAAAACTGTCTACTTTTTTCATCAACTGGAAATTTTCTGGTGGTCTGGTTAATTTAGGTTTGATCGACCAACTTTCCAGATCATGTGACTGCAGACAGATCTTCTTTAACAACCATCTCCGTATGATTCTATGCATTGAAATTGGAACGTCTTAAATTTCATTTTACAGGTGGGCCTATCGGAGCAGCTGTGATGTTTCCTATTGGTGGATTTTTGTGTGAATATGGATTTGACGGTGGTTGGCCTTCCGTATTTTATGTGATTGGTATGGATTTTGGTTCATTTCGAACAAATGATGGTCGAGGGTTCTAATCTCGGTCGATGTGAGAAAGTATGATGACCATGATTATTAAATGTTCTTATCTCACTATTCCATTCATCTCATCTATTAAGGAGTAAGGAAAATATTGGAAAGATTTATGTCAAGTAGTGTTGCCAAGAACCAGGTGTTATAAAAGATCCTCGCGAACCTAAGATTATGATTAACAAATTGTTGTGAATCTTTTCCTTGTATAAAACTTTTTCTCGACTGAAAAATTTCGTTTTCAAATGATGCATGTTCTTATAAGCTACTCTAATCTTTCCAATGCCTTGTGTTTTCAGGTGGGGTATGTTTCCTATGGACTGTCGTATGGTGTCTCCAAGGTTATGATTGCCCAAGTCAACATCCATCAATTTCCCCGATTGAACGTAATTATATTGAAGATTCTTTAGGTTTCTCAAGAGGACAGGAATTGAAGGTGAAGGTGAGCACGTGAAATAAACATTCATTTTGCGGAAAATCTATTTTGACAGTTTTATAAAAATAATAAGTTACATTACATAAATGAATATTCAATTTTTTGCAATTATTTAACCACTTTCAGATCCGAATAAATCCCACGCCGTGGAGAAGTATAGTTTCATCCAAACCAGTCTGGGCAATTATTGTTTGTCATTTTTGTATAAATTATGGAAATTACATGATTGGGACTCAATTACCAACTTACATGAAGGAGGTTTTGAAATTTGATATTCAAACAGTAAGTTTTTATTTCGAGTATCAAGCAGTGCACTTGCCACCAACATAATCTGATCACGGTTAACGTCATGGGTCTAATCCACACATCTTATCAAGCGATTACATCAATATGTTGCATCTTCAATGAACAATTGAAATTTCATTGTAATTCGTTTGGAATTATTATGTTGGTAGTTTACACGCCTATTGTTATAAATCAATTGGTTTGTGAAGATTGTATGAGATAATTCGTAGGTCAATAATAATAATAATTTGAAATCCATGAAATCGTGATTTAAATAAATAAAAGTCTATTCATTTAGGAATAGTGAATAAAGTCTTGTCACATGAAGTCTTCCAATGAAAATGTAATCAAACATCTATCAAACACAGTCATTGTGTGATCCCACAGCATCAATAGAACAAAAAAATTAATCATGCATAAATGATTGCTCCATCGCACATTATGTGATCCCATTCCCACAGCATCAATAGGAACAAAATAACTCGTGGTACTGAGTGGGACTTTGCTCTTGTGCCAATTTGCTAGAGAATCTGAAAAAATCAACGTTCTTAGCCAATCAGGTCACGTGCTAAAGCAGTAAAAAATTTTGAAATTTCGTTTTTTTGGAAGGTTGTGAAAGCGGAAATTGAAGCCAGACATAAAATATGAATATTAGATTTCCAAGGTCAATGACCTTTGGCCATGTTAAGGTCAACGTCACTAGATGAGTCATCAAACTTTGAAAATACAAACATTATAAAACCGGAAGTTGACGATGAACATGAATATGAAGGTATTAATCTTTAGCCAAGGTCAATGACCTTCGATCCTACAAAGGTCATCAATGGTAAAGGTCAAAAGTTGAAAATATGCCAAATTTAAACCCTGTTCCTTTTTTTGAACTACGAAGCGGAAACAACTGACCTTTTCACACGAACTGGCCAAAGGGGTGGGGTAATTGTGTGCAAGGTCCTGTTTTGAACAAATGTAATTTAACCCGGATGTGCCACGCCCACCTTATTTTTTTGACCCAACTTAATTGATATTTTAGATATTATGTTGTGTTCAAAATTTCAAGCTTCTACATCATGCAGGTCAAAAGATATAGGTCAACAAAAGTCAAAAAATGTCAAAATCGAAATTAGAAAATATGGAAATTTTTAAACCCGTTCCTTTTTTGGAACGAATTTTCGAATTTCGCAATTTTTCAAGTTCTATCAGGTCAGAAATAACAGATAGATTGTAAAAATGAAAACCCGAAGAAAATCGATGCAAAAATGCGCCTTCTAGAGCCGATTTTCGAATTTTTGCACGTGGACCTGTGGCACTTCCGTTTTTGCAAAAATGTCCAAATACACTCATTTACGACGTTGCCACTACAGAAGGTCTACACATGTAATAATGTTGATACAGCTGTTGCAGCCTTTGCTTGAAAAGGTGTGGAAAAATCGGGAAAAAAAAAAAAAAAAAGGAATGGCATTTCGATAACAAATATATTTCACAGACATCAGCAGAGTTTAGATTCCATATATTAGAATGCACTCAACCGTTAAAAGTGTTTTATAAGCTGTCTAACTAGTGAGATGTCTAACCCTTCGTATCCGCAATGTTACAGCCTAAAATTCCCAATGAGGACTCCATCATTCAACATCACTCCATCCTCATAACCCACAAAACAAAATTCCATAGTCAAGCTAGTTTGAATTTATTATTTGATATATTTGTAGAATGGCTTGTATTCAATGTTACCCTTCCTATGTTTGTGGTTTATGATGATGATAAGCGGTATAATAACAGATCGACTCATAATTAAAGATATACTGTCGTTGAGATATACCAGGAAGATGATGACCTCTCTAGGTAGAGAAGTACATATTTTTTTGTACACATTCAAAGCATTATTACCAGAAACGTACCGTGTCTTAATTTCACATTCCCAACTTCTCGTTGCATATAGAATGCTATATAGAATGCTTACGACAAACATTTTGCTATTTTCATCTTCACAAAAAATTAAAAGAAAATGATCTTTCTAATATTTAAATCCGAAAATATTTTATGATAAAGAATTAGAATGAAATCTATTATTACTATTACGATTAATACAAATTCCATCAGAAAATATCATTCAGACAATTAGGGGATCAGATAGTTATTGGACTTGCGTAACTATCATTAAAATAAAGGGTTTTTTTTTTGTTTAAGGAACTGTTGTACCAGGATTATTTTTAATTGGAACTAGCTATATGTCGCAAGAGCAACAGTTACCAGCGGTCGTAATGCTTACAATTGGAGTTGGTTTCTGTGGATGTCAAATCAGTGGGTACTACATGAATACTGCCGATATTGCTCCAGCGTTTGCTGGAATTCTGATAGGAATCTCTAATACTATAGCTACCGTCCCGGGTATTATTGCACCCTTTGTAGTTGGTGTTATGACGCCCTCAGTAAGTGCTTTCAACATTTTCAATATATCATTTAAGCTTTATTGACGTAGGTCTCATAGCAACAATAGCATTTACAAATGTAACGTAATCAGGAAATATTGCATTCAAGTCTTGCCATGTAGTAATTTCCAGTAACACAGAAAAGATTATCATATATTCCATCTGGTAAAAACTAGATACCAGTACTATAGTTATTATTTCATTGAACAATTGTTTAATGTATTAAGCCCCAATTTAATTATTGTTCACTTTTTACCTGGCTCATAAATATTATATATTTTAAGGGCTCTGAATTGGAATGGCAAAGATCATTATATTTAGCCGGAGGAATATATTTCATAGCTGCAGTAGTATTTATAATTTTTAGTGACGTCGATATTCAACCATGGGGTCTTGTTTCTCAAGGTAAAGAAATAGTTATAGAGACTGAAAATATTTTGCAGGATAATGATTAAGGAGTAATTTAGTAAAAAAGCCATTTGGGAACCATACATACTACCTACGTAACCTACTTTAGTTCGCAACAATGACTTGAGAAAAATAATAAAACGACAACATTTTAAAGATCATGAGAATCCTGGCTACCTAATGGTCTTTTGCCAAACTTCGCTTATTCCCAGATTATTACATTGTTGTTTATTATCCATTTTTGTAATACGTCGTTGTGTTTCTGTAAATGTGTTAAAAGTGTAAAGAATACGTGTGATTACTTTTACTGGGTGATTGTTGTTACAGTATTTCTTAGTGCTTGCGTGATATTCTGCACGTTTGTGCCGCCCTAAATATTTTGAGTTTTAGTGCATTTCTTTATTACTTGAATGTGAATATTGTGTGCTATTTGTGTTATAGGACGGTGCTCCGGTTTGTGTTGCCTATCTGGGATCCATTTTGTCTGAATGTGCTTTGGTTTGTTTTGCCCAATTTAGGGTCCGAATTGTGAAATCATTCAGGCTCGTAACAGCGCCTGTCCATTTTTCATCACCATTGTTATATGTGTACCTATATTGTTATACGAGAATTGTTGATATTTATAGAGAAAGGTTTGAAAACACTTGTTTGTTTTATAAATAAAATTGAGATACTGGTTTCAGTGTGTGTTGTATTCTTGGCAATAGAACATCATCGCCCTATTTGGTAATTGAGTTACCTAATGCTAATAAACATTGTTACATTCAATTGGCTAACAATACCGTTATTAGATGGCTCAATGATTTTCGCATAAGGGAAGGGAAAGTCATAACGAGAATCTGAAATTATAACTTCATCCTTATCGATAGCATCTTCTATGACAGATAAGGTAAAAATCGTATAACCATTTGTCAGGAAGTATGAACAGCCTAATTTCTCAGCTATTGAACACGAATGAGGATTATATTTCAGTAGCGGAGCATCAACCGAATAATCTTAAGTATTATGTTATTTTGCAAGAGCCAATTTCCAAAGAAACGGCTTCTATAATCAACACAATTCTTGGCAATTCAAATCACGCTATCTTGATAAAAGTCGGCTGGAATGGATAGTGGGTAATCCAAACGAATTTTAAGAAACATAAAAAGTTCAATCTTAGCGGAGATAGCAACAAAGAGCAAACTTTATGTCGAAATACCCCCACATTTAACAATGGCCCCATGCTTGTCAAATAAGTGCAAGATGTGTCCCTTTATATCAGAAACTCAGTATTTTATGACTTACTATTCAAAGAAAAGGTACCCGATCAAGGAGAATCAAACATGTGAAACCTCGAATTTAATACACTTAATTTCATGTAGGAAATGTCCCTAATGTATGAGAAACAAAAGTAATCTACGCACTGTTTTACAGCTCTTAGATAAGATATCAAATTAAAGACAGACAAGCCTGTTTCTAATTGTTATGGCCATTTCATAATTATTTTCTTCGTTTCATCGATAGTGCATTTGTGATTCCATATTTTTAACGTTATCTAATCAATGAAGCTTAGCATCAGTATTGTTTCGTTTTTCGGTCATTATCGAGTCTTAATTATTATGTTGACTTAATCACGTGACAAGCTAAAATTTTTATGACATTCCTTCCCTGCTAGTAAAATCATTTTTCAGCCTATTGACAGTTATTATTTTTGTCAGCACAATGTACCAAAATGCACCGTGAGAGAAAAGCAGGAAATTAAGCAAGCCAAATTTGATATTAGGATACGAGAAGAAAAGTTAGAACTCAAAATGGAATTAGCAATAGCTAAAATCAAAGTAGGATTGATTATACAGTTGCGTCATCAAATGATCACTCTTCAACACCACTAACTAATAATTCTTTTTCAACATCTATGAAGACTGAAGAGCATCACAATCCTGTTGATGTTAATAGCTGTAATTCGAATTCATCTTCATCTTCTGAAAAGACAGCTGGAGATATGGTTTTGTCAGTAGTTCGAGAAATGAAAAAACCTAAAACTGAGTGGTTTGATTAGACATGATATAGACAATTTATGAGACAATTTAATTACTTTACTAGTAGTGTTGATAGTGTTGATGAAAAAAGGGAACTTGTTAGATTACTATACAAATGGAGAGGCTAATCGAATAATTACTGGTTATAGTCATATGGATTCCAATATAGGCTTTCCAGCAGCACTTCAGGAACTGGAAGAACGCTATGGAGATCTAGTGGCAACTGCAGTAACATATGCCGAAAAAACATGAAAAATATATAATTTTGTATGAGAGCCTAAAAGAAAAAGATGAGACAGTGATATTTTATAATTTCGTTAAATTTGTGAAGCCAAGAAAGCAACAGATCCACCTTATGGCAGAGAAGCTTTGATTGATGATAGAAATAACCATTTAAAAGGGCAAAGGAAAGTTAAAGTGTTAACAACATCAACCGAATGCTTATTTTGTAAAAAACAAAATCATTGTTTACCAGATTGTTATCAAATTTTAAGAAAGAAAAAAATCAAGAAAGAATTAACTTTTTAAAAGGTGTTAAGACTTTGTTTTGGTTGCCTGAAAAAAGGACATTCCATCAAATATTGTAAGACTAAATTAAAATATAACTGAAAATTCCTCTAAAGCAATTTCTTAACCCATATTTTTGCCTTCTTCTATTTCCGTTTTTCTTACTGTCTCTTCTTATCCAGCAAGATAATGAGAGATGCAGCTATACATCCAGCCTCTTCATCCATTGCAGTCTTTTGTTTTAGTGATTCTCTCCAAAATTGACAATTTCCCACCAAAATATCTTTCAGTTTGTTTCAATCAGAGGTTCAACGTGGTTCTCATCCAGCAGGATAATGAGAGATGCTGCTATACATCCAGCCTCTTTATCTTTTGCAGTCTTTCGTAATAGAGATTCCCTCCAAAATTGACAATCTTTCCCATCAAAATATCTTTCAATTTGTTTCAACCAGAGGTTGAACTTGGTTGAAGAAAGTTACCCTGTGTGAACATCACAGGAAGTTTGCTAGAGGTTGGGGGTTGAAAGAAGTTGCAGATAAAAAGGTTGCCTATTTAAACTCACCTTTTGACGTAAAATACCATTGCTCAGAATGCTGATATTGTATGGTCGGTTAATAGTTCCTTCATTATTTGTCTTTTAATTTTCTCACAACTTGAATATTTTTCTAAATGTACAAACCCCCTAATTTGGAAGTCATTTAGACATTGATATGTTTATAGACATTTTTTTCAGAAATAAATACTTTTCATTGAATCCCTATCCCCAATACCCATTCAGTTGGACCACTCTATAGTTTATTATATAGGATTGAAATACAAAACCATTGTCGTATGTTGTAATCACCTTGGCGACCTGTTGGTCCGTTCACATTTGGCTCGCGCTCACTCTACAGGCTACAATTCTTTACGAATTCTTTTGTTTTTTATTTTGTGGGTCAATGTAATTATGAAGATGATTCCTATCGATTTTCGCGATGATTTGGTAATTTATTTTTGTGGGCCAATGTCATTATAAAGATGATCCCTATCTATTTTCAGGATGATCTGATAATTTTTCATTAAAATGTCGTTATCAACTTAGTGTATTCACTCACTATTCAAGCAACAATTCTTTATGAATTCTTTGATCTTTATATGCCCACACGTAGTATATGGAAGCATATATTGTCATCCGTACGTCTGTTCACAATTGGCTCATGCTCATTGTACAGACTACAGAAAATGATTTGTACTTGTAATCAAAGCTGCTGATGGGCTTATGTAACTACCATTTTCTGTATAAACTGCTCATTGATAATCTTTTCATCTCTAATTAAATCCATCAATTCATGTTTCTTGAAGAACTTTCTCAACTTGAGAGTTCAGCACACTGTATTGGATTTTGGATTGCAATCGGGAGATGGGTGAGGTTTGGTCATTTTATATATTATAACCTAATCATTTCTTAATCCGCAGGCAATTTTGTCTTGGAAAAATTGTTTCTGGACAGTTTGTGCTGAAAATTGTGCTCACTTTGACATTCATAGCTAGAAAAATGACAATGATCTATTTCGGCATTGAAATCACAATCTTTTCTTAAAATTTCGTCTTTATTCTTACAATAACATATTTATTTGATAAAAGATCGTCGAGGGATTTTTACATACCCCCAGATGACATGGGGCATTCGATTGATTGTGTTTATCCATTTCCTTTATGCATCTCTGAAGATAACCGTCGGATATGAGAAAATTACGCTGGATTTTTAATACGCCCACATAGTTTTCCTTTTCTAAGTGAAGCATATGTCACACGAATTCAGCGCATTTGAACGTTAAAAGTGATTTTATTACGGTCTAATAGAAAGGAAAAAGCTAAAGGTAATATTTCGACCTGGAATAATCTAGTAAAAAAATTGGATAAATCACCATTTCACAAATTTGTTTAAAAATTAGCCGCCTTTTCATTTATACTATAAACTACACTACGACGAATGGAATCAAAGCAGTTTTATAATCAACAAAGAAACAGTATAATCTTTCCTGGTTTTTAATGTACGGTTAATTAAGGTTTGCAGAATGAAGGTTGCATCGGTTGAAGATAGTTTTTGCGAAATCCAAATTGGCTCGGTGAAATTCTCTTATGTCTGTTATCAAAGTTATGTAAACTGATATTTAAAATCTCATTACTACAATCTATAAAAAAAGATCATTTATTAAACGATCACAGTTTTCGATTTGAATTAACAATATTTGTTTAGGCATATCTAAATCAATAAGCTGTTTGAAATTTTGATGATTATTGTCAAAATTGTTTTTAAAGTCGTACATTGACACCATCAAGACCAGCTTTTGATGTGTCTAAATTAAAATCAGTAATACATCAGTAATATTCATAAAAGGTATATGACAAACAGCAGTGTTGGACGAAATGCGACTATTGACAAAATCGTTTATTACACAGGCATTAGTTGTACTTAATGAATTTGGAGCATTACTTAATAAATTCGACTCTGGACTATCATTACCAGCTGAATTATTCATCGCTTTCCAAATTTGTTTACTACTCTTTCTATCTGATACTAAAGTTAAAGTATTTTCTTATTGCAGTTTTAACTGTATTTCAAACCTTTTTTTATATTGAAGGTAGTCACCTTTTTTTTTAGATGATCCCGATAATGAATTAAATCGAAATTTCTTTAGATAACAACGCAGGCTTAGAAATGTTTTGGACACGTTTTATTCGTATGGGCGCATGTCTATTTAGGATTGATTTAATAATTCATAAAAAACTGAAAGAGCTAGATTTGGATCATTATATTTATAAAGAATGTCAAAAGGAGACTTATAATCGTTCAAGAACAATTCATTATCGAATTATTTTTAAAGACCTATAAGTAATTGTTATACAAATTTCATTTTGAGTACTCCAAGCAGCTTCCATCATTTGTGAAAAAGAATCTAATTGAAGCTGGATTTCGATAAATGGAACAAATGAGAATAGGGTTAGACTTTTTAAAGATAAATTCAATCCATATGCATTCAATATCACCATGTTCAATATCAATTCTGCAATTGCAGTTAAAAGTATCCTTAACATAAAGTAGCGTTCCAGAAGAACTTAGATTTTAACTATCTTTTCTGAAACTTATATGGTATCCGGGATTAATTAAATCATTGTCGTCCATCGAAGTAGTGAGATAAGATTCAGAAATAGCAAATATATC